AGTTATTTTATTTATATTGTTGTTATAAAATTCCAAACCAAACCAAACCTGAACATAGGAAAATTCCATGGAAATTTTGAAAATGATGATAGAAGTTTTCAATTTCATTTTAGAGAAAAACCCTTTAAAATGAAGCGAATTTTTTGTTTTGAATAATTTTTACGAATTCGTTCTTGAGTTGTGAGAGAAACAAAAATGCTAAATTAACGGAAAAACAAAATAATCCCAAAAAACAAATACATTAAGAGTCAATTTAACTAGTCCGAAAAAGTAGCAAAATAAGCGTTCGGCATTTAACGTTTTTTGTAAAACTGGCTAGGTATTTTTTCACAAATGAAGAAGGAAATTAGAGATAAAGGATTATACTATATCCGTATTGTAGCACATTTTTAGTAATAACTTCTTTATTTTTAAGATTTTGATGGTCAATCATTAGTAATATTCCTTATATTTGGATTAAATTTTCTCGAAAATAAAGACATAATTTAAAACTCCGTTACAATATGGAAATAGATTGAAGTTTTGTGATTACAGTGATATATAATTTATATGGTTTTGTAACAAATTGCTTGCTATTATAGGCAAATGCTGAACGTCTGCAAACCTTAACCAAACCTAATCCAAGCACGTATGTTTGGAATTTTTGGGTGTGGCTTAACACGACAGTATCGGTCTAAGCCTTAGGCAGATTTCTGAAATATAATATACAGGGTGGTCCGAACTGTATTCCGGAAACTTCGACAGCATATTCGGCAGATAAAAATAAGTAAAAAAGTTCGTATAAATGTACGTCCTAAAATGCTTAGCTTCGGAGATACAGGGTGTAGAAGTTTCATTTTTATTTCGATTTTTTCTAAATAATTTCTGAAATAACGTCAATATTTGGATGAAAATTGGTATCTGAGAGTTTTTTGACATGAGAAACTTGATTTTGATGTCAATGACTCGACCTAATGCAGACTGTGGATGATACACTAAAGATCATAGCCAGATGGATGCGTGAGCACAGACTCGAAATAGCTGTGGAAAAAACAGAGGCGATTTTACTGAGCCGCAAGAGAAAAGTTGACCATATAAGGTTTAATTTTAAGGATATAATAATAAATCCAGTAAAGCAAGTCAACTATATTGGATTCCACATAGACCGTGCACTCACGATGGGCCTGCACATCAAGGAGGTGTGTTTGAAATCACAACGAACTGCTAAAGCGTTGTCTGCAATACTGCCAAACGTTCGGGGCCCAACACCAGCAAAGAGAAGAGTGTTAGCATATGCGTGCCAGAATATTATTATGTATGGAGCACCTGTGTGGAACGAAGCAACCAATATGCACGTAAATAAAAAAAGACTTGAAGGTGCACAGAGAGTCATGGCTTTGAGGGCCTGTTCGGCGTATCGAACAACTTCAACTGAGGCAGCCTTGGTGATATCGAGTCTGGTGCCCCTGCATCTTCTCTCAAGAGAAAGAGAACGGCTCTTTCTAAAGGGTAAAGTACAAACCAGGGCAAGCAGAGAGATGGAGAGAAACCGCTCAGTGCAGCAGTGGCAGGCAGAATGGGAAGTATTGCAAAAAAGAAGATGGACATTGGACATATAAGCTCACCCAAATATAAATATGTGGATTAAAAGAAAGCATGGAGAGGTAAACTTCTATCTTACTCAAATATTGAGTGGTCACGGAAATTTTGGGAGTTATCTGTGTAAAATTGGAACGAGGGAAGTCGCGGAATGCCGATACTGTGCTGAACCCAAATACTCCAGAACACACAATGTTTGCTTGTCCAAGATGGGAACAGGAAAGACGTGAGGCACGCATGACGATTGGTGGCAACATCTCCGCAGATACCTTCTTAAAATCGGTAACAGAGAGAAGAGAAAACTTTGAAGCCATCTCAAAACTGGCCCAAAATATACTAGAGGCAAAATACAGCGAAGAGAGCAGGGGTAATGAAACAAAAAGAACAGTCCGGCGTCTACTTGAGGAGATGCGTCCAGCGGGTCCAGGTAGACGTGGCAGGAGCGAGGGGTGATATTTAGTAGGTAGTGTCCTCCAGGCAGCTTAAGGAGAGATTGAGTCCCACACTCGTGACGTAAAGGTACCTCCGGAAAAAAAAAAGTAGAGGGCGCCTAAGTAGAGGGCGCCACCTACATGTGTTTTAACTGTTTTGAAGCGTAATAACTGTTTGTCCGTACCTGTATAAAAACTACCGAGTTAAAAAATATACATCTCTGTGATTTTTTACGTAAAATATATCTCTTTGTAAAAATCACTATGAGCAACCGTTCTTAAGATATTTAGAATGGAAATAGTAAATACATGTCATTATTGACGAAAAATAAATACGTTGAGTTATTTCACTGATATAATAAATTTGGGAAACTTTTATTTTTTTAAATTAATCATAAAATTTTCTGCAAAAAATAGCGATAAAACAGTTTCTGTTAAACATTTGGCCCTAAAACATTTCAAATTTATTATTTGAGTCTAATAACTATTTAGTCAACATGTTTAATTTATGTCAATGATGACAGGTATTGATAATTACAGTTGAGGGTTGGAACCTTTGGTGTTACACAGCAAAATAAAAACACTAAATCACCACAATACACCAAAACACTTTTACTTTTACACTGGACGCGCGTTTCGCTAACCATGTTAGCATCATCAGCAGATGATTAGAAACTGAATAGTATATAACAGTTTACAATCATCTGCTGATGATGCTAACATGGTTAGCGAAACGCGCGTCCAGTGTAAAAGTAAAAGTGTTTTGGTGTATTGTGGTGATTTAGTGTTTTTATTTTGCTGAGGTATTGATAATTTCTATTCCAAATATCTCGAAAACCATTACTCGTAGCGGTTTTTACCAAGAAACCTTTTACACGTAAAAACGTCGTAAATGTATATTTTTTACTCAGTAGTTTTATACAGGTACAGACGAAAAGTTATTACTCTTCAAACCAGTTAAAAGATATGTAGGTGGCGCCCTCTACTAGTAGGAGTCATATTGACATCAAAATAAAATTTCTCATGTCAAAAAAACCCCAGACACCAATTTTCATCCAAATATTGACGTTACTTCAGAAATTATTTGGTAAAAATCGAAATAAAAATGAAACTTCTACACCCTGTATCTCCGAAACTCAGCATTTTAGGGCATACATTTATATGTACTTTTTTACTTATTTTTATCTGCAGAATATATTGCTGAAGTTTCCGGAATACAGTTCGGACCACCCTGTATATTTCCTTCGGCCACACACCCGCTTTACCCGACCCCTGAGAGCGACCCGAAGAGTACAGCGTAATAGACTCTTAATTTTAAACACTAAACAATTCACAAAATTAAATATTTGATATTGATAATATGGAGAAAATGGAAAAAATACCCTACGTTCTTCATCCTCGTCCAATAAGTTTTTGGTGTTTGGAATATTTAAATGACTTAAAATTATGGTTTTTAAAACTTCGACTCTTGCTTCGACCGTTTATCAGTTTATTCATTAATTTAGTATTTTTTATCTCTCATAACTTCAAAAGGAATTCGTAGAATCTATTGAAAATGGACAACTTTCTTGATTTTAGTAAATACTTTAGAAAGTTTCAAATAATGTTTTCTGTAAAATAAAATAGAAATATTTCAACTATCGCTTTTGAAATTTACGTGGGATTTCTTATGTTCGGGTTGACGAAGCAACAGATGGCATAAAAAGCAATAAATAAATATTTTGTAAACTGTATGATTTATATGTTTTTAATTATAAATCTTAATTACAAGCATTATCAAAGAAACGTGCTTCATATATTGAAATATTATGAAAATAAAATATGAAGTGTGCATTTAAATATCTTGTTCCATTTAATATTGTTATTTATATTATATGACTAAAAATATGGTTTGGGCATTTTCTGATAGGATCAAATATATTTTTCGAAGGCTCCTTAATTAAATATTAGTGTTTTTAACACAGGCATGGCACTCTAGATTGAAATTTAAAATACAATTTTTACGTGTTTTAAGCGAAAATGTCAAAAGTTGACATATGTCATTCTATTGAGAGTGTCATTTTCTATCGAATAAAGTAAAAATATAACGAGGGGCCATTTAAAAATCAGAAGTTGTATTCCGGTGAAACAAAGAAAAGTGACCAAAAACAAATGAATACGTGAATCAATCCTAATATATGGCATATACTAACATACCAAATCTCGTTTTTTATCTGGAAAAAAAAATAAAAAAGTGGTAGTGTACAGTACTCTGTACATGAGTAAGAGTTATGTACAGAGTCTCATTTTGATTACAAATTATCTAGCTTATTAATAAAAACTACTCTACAGATGCTTGTAAACCTGAGATTTTATTTGGGGAAATCAAAAATACCGCTAATAAAATTCTCATAACATGAAATGTTGCAATTTTAGATACATATTTACCTCAGTTATGTAGCTACTTCTGTAACAATCTTGTATCATTTTTTTACACGAAATCCTACTGGATTAGTTGGGGTCTTAATCAGAAAGTTTACTCAGTCACGACTAAATCTGCTGTTCAACCGGTATATTTGAATGCAATTTTAAATTAAATATTATTTGATTTTCATAATATTTCGTGGTATGATTCACGTTTCTTTGAATCGCCCTTTCGCAACTAAAAAGGGACACACTTTACATTTAATTCTGTAAGCAGTATAACATATATTTTTTAACACTTTCCAGAAATGATAGGTATATATTAATTTTATCGATTGGGACTGTAATTTTAACTTTCAATATTACATTGTACTATTAAGTCACCTCGTATGAATTTTATTTTTATTTATTTTATTTTATTTTTTATTTTCGTTGTATTACCTTTACGCAGAATGCAGTAATTTACAATATTTTGAATTTAACTTTACTTGGATGTAGTTTGGTTCGTGAGTAACGGCGGGGTGGTTCCTAAACCCGAAACCATAGTTTAGTACCATCCGCTAATTCCACCTTTTATACCTGTTACAGTTTTTAAATATGGCCAGTGTGTTCATGAGGATTTTCAATCTTATATGTATGATGCTGCTGATCGGACATTGGTCGGGATGTCTGCAGTTTCTCGTGCCCATGCTCCAGGGCTTTCCGCCAAATTCATGGGTGGCAATCAACGAACTTCAGGTAAGATCTTTAGTGAAACATAATACACACAGATGCAAAAAAAGAACGGAAAAAGTTTACGTCAAATTTAAAGTGTTATATTTTTTACATTTTAAGCCCTATTTTCATGATTTTTTTAGCAAATTGTATATAAATATATGAACTTTAATTTTAAGTTTCTTTTATACATTTTAGTATTTTTTTCGCTTATTATACAGGGTTAATCGAAGGGTTGTTTTTTACCTTAACTTTAAAACACCCTGTGCAATAATTTCGTGAGCAAATTTTTCGGTTAGAATCATGTCTCCGGAACATTTTGTTTTTTGGATCATGTCAATACATACCTTGGTTAATTTTTAAGAGCAGTGAACTTGCCACCAACAATTTGCATAATTTTTTCAATTATCATTCCTTTTTAATATTATTTTTCAATATAACGAGGTGACTTTGGTGATTATTGCGAGCTATATACTACTGTGAACTGTCCAGCATATTCAACATATCTAAATCTTTAAGAACACGTTTGAGATATTAGAGGGGTATCAAAGCAACACCAGCTTCACTAAATATAAACTTCGCTTGGTCTCAGTGACAGTACGAACATCTATAGGCAGTTATAGCAGCCAAGGAAGGCAATACAAATTATTATACTGTTTTTTACGAGTTGTTTTTGCTGTTTGTATATTTGATTATTACAGATGGTTTTTTTAATATCGTTAGTTTTGTTATTGTTATTTATGTTTATTAAAACCAGGGCTGTATCGGTACCATTTAACAATTTTTTATTTAGTATACAGTATAAAATGCAGCGTAATATGACATAACGACAAGAGTCACCAAAGCCACCTCGGCATATTGAAAAATAACATCAAAATATAATGATAATTGAAAAAATTGCAAACTATTGGTCACAAGTTCATTTCGCTCTTAAGAATTTACCAAGACATATGTTGACTTGAGACAAAAGACAAAATGCTCGGGAGAGTTTTAGGAGAATTTCACGTAATGATTCCACAAGGTGATTTAACGTTAAAAAACAACCCTTCAAATGCTATTACTATACTTTCATGTTTTTTTTAATTTTCTCTGAAACTGTATGGAAATTTGGAAAAGAAAAAACGGGATTAACCATTTCAGAACAAGCTAATTTTTTATGAAGAATGCATGTTTCTCAAAATGTCAATAATAAGAAAGTTTTGTTTCTTGTAAACACAGTCCGGAAGCATACTGTACATTACAAAAATTGTCAAAAATACGTGATTCATACCTTGAAATATTATGGAAATCAAGTTATGTTCAATATAAAGTGTATTTTATTTAAAAAATAACAAGGACACATAAACAGGAATTTTAAATTAAAAAGCTTCTTTATATTGCTGAATGGTCACTTAAGAAGTTACTCCTGCATAGAAATATACCGCTACATACCAGGATCCGGATAATTCAATCTTATGTGTGGCCTGTGATGTTGTATGGCGCTGAGACTTGGTCACTTAAGGTAAAATCAATAAACAGAATTGAGGCTTTTGAAATGTGGACACTTCGATTGCTGCGCGTACCCTGGACGCGCAGTCAAAGTCAAAAAACCTGGACGGAGCATGCAACAAATGATAAAGTCCTAAGAAGAGCCAGAGTAGACAGACAACTAATGGATACCGTAAAACAATGCAAAGTATCAGATCTGGGACATATATTAAGGGGACGTCCATATACCCAGGTTAATACTGCAGGGGAAGATGGAAGGCCGACGGGGACCGGGTCGAAAACAGCATTCTTGGCTTCGTAACATAAGAAACTGGAGTGGCATACCTGACGCCGCAACCATATTTCGACGAGCCGAAGAGGGCACCCTAGTCATCTTATAGCCATAAAACAGACGAATGATCGCCAACGTGCGGCATAGCACATGGCACCCAAAGAAGAAGAAGATATTGCTTAATAATTTTTTACATTTTGTCTCATTCCTATTTCCCGCAGATTTCTAACGAAAGCTTATAAGATTATGTCAGGTTTACGACCTTAAAACTAACTGAAGTATCTGAGTGGAAGCTTAAAATTTAGATTGAACCACAAATAAAATACTCATTAGTTAATGTCTAGACAGTCGTATATTATAAAGTTTGACACATTTTCGGCATTTTTGATTTTGTGATTAATAGTAAGTATTAATATCATTTTAATTTAAAAATTCAAAATTATCCAATACATTTTTTTCTATTTTAAATAGTTTAATCATTATTTTAATATTAAGATATATGATTTTAATAATTTAACTAATTTGAACACGATTTCTGATAAATAGCTTATAAGCTTATTATTTGCTAATAAGAATAATAAATCTATCGAAAAGGTGGTATGATAATATAGTTGATGTTGGTGAGAAGCAAAAATTGGCTATTGAGATAGTTCAATATACCCATTTGGTAGGCACTAAACTTAGAATAAATTAGTGGCTCCAATTACACTTTATACTTTTTAGTTTACGATCATTGACGATGTCTTAAGCTTGATTTTCATGCGTCCGTTATCCGTCGATACGATGGTCCGATATTAATTTTATTGGTTGACTTTAAAGACTTCAATTGATTAGAAACGGTTAACCAATCCAAGTCTTTACATTCAACCAATAAAATTAATATCGTATCATTGTATCGTCGGACAACGGATGCATTACCTTAGATCGGTTATTACTAGCGTCAAAACAAACCAAAATTTTTTTAGTTTTTAAAAATTCTATACGAACACACATTACTCACAATTAAACTTTACGTTATTTCAAAATTCCCAGGAGGCCTTTTGGCTGGAACAATACTCTTGGGCCCTGTTTAAGGCCATGTCCCACATGCTGTGCATCGGCTACGGCCGCTTCCCCCCACAATCCCTTACGGACATGTGGCTCACAATGCTCTCTATGATCTCCGGGGCCACGTGCTACGCCCTGTTCCTGGGCCACGCCACCAACTTGATCCAGAGCTTGGACTCGTCCAGGCGACAATACCGCGAAAGTATTCTACGACGTAATCTATATTTGGAATTCCTGGTTTACAATGTGGGTTAGCTATCCCCGTACGTATACGTAGATAAGATTTCCTTTTAAATGCGGTCGAAGTGGAAATTTGGCATACATGCAATTTTCTAAGGCAATGATGGATTTCGCCAAAATGTAAGTCGCCGGGTCTAATTTATTTCGATGTCATTGGCAGGATGCAAGAAAACCGCCTACCGCAATCTCTTCTTTACCGTGAGCTTGTAGCTGTTAAGGGGAAACCGGGTGGACAACTCTAAAGATACAAAGATATTTTCCATGAAAACTTAAAGGGGATAAGCATGCAGAATCAGTGGGAAGAAGCAGCGCACAATAGAATGCAATGGAGAAGAATTGTAAACACAGTCAACAACAACAACCAAAAAGTAAAGAGGCTACAAAGTAATGAGATTTTTGAATGTCCGGAGTGCGGAAGAGTGATCACATCCACATCACGTATCGGGCTTTCCAGTTACAGGAAACCTCATGAAACAAAACGCCTTGCGTAACCATTCTCTGATGCGTGTCAAATACTCGTCAGCGAGTAATGGCTGATAATGATTAATAATAGTAATGGTTGACTAAAAATAATATTATCCTGGTAGATATAAACATTGAAAATCGTCCCAATAAAAAGCTAAAAAGATTTTCTTTTTAATTTTGTATACTCCATAATTGAAATATGTACGAAAAAAATAGTACTGTAAATAAAAAAATACTGCTATAAAATAGAAATTTTAATTAACAATTTATGTTAATTCTAAAACTAGAGATTAAGATAACTCCCTTTCAAAGAAAATGGTAAAAATTTCCGGTAATGAATTTTCAGTTTTAGCAAGATGTTAAAATTATTCTTCGACTTTGAATACTTTTGACCTACAAGATAAATTGTTGTTTGATTCATATCTTCACAGTATACGATTATATTCTTAATTATTGTCGACAGGGTGCTTACCGCTATTTCGCATTGACCTTCTACTTTTTGTGTTTGTGCCATATTTTACTATGCAGTTAACCTCATTTTTTTCTTTTTTATTTAAATATAAATTCTTCAGATTGTAGAACAGGATAAAAAATTCTAATTATTATTATGGATTTTTTCAACAGATTCATTTTTGTGCATATTTTTATCTACCATAGTTAGTTAACTATTATTTCTAAAATTGTAGAAGAATTGTTACTGTTATTTAAAGATAAGCGTTGTATCTAAAATTTTCTATTTATTTCTGAAGAATTATACAGGGTGATTCACGGCCATGGCACGTTAAACATTTATGGAGAACTAACTGGTGAGAGGCTTTTTCTGAAAATTTGGATTTTTACATAGAGGTTCCTACCCTATCTGTCTAAATTATTTTCAGCATTACAGTGAATTGATTAAAAAAAATGATCTATGATCTAGAATTATTGGGTAGATCATAAATTTGGCATATTGAAAGCTGAAATTTTGTTTATAGGTTAATGAAAGGTGACATGTTCGATAAAAAAAAATGCGACACGTAAAATCAAAAAAATATTTATTTCAATAAAAGGAAGTGGTTCAAATTTAGCTTACAAGATTTGCTCCGAACAAACATACATACATAGATAGTTACATAGTTACATACAAAGCAAGTTAAATAAAAACTTATAAAATTGTTACTTGAACAAATACTTAAACTTTATATGAATCAATTAGACGGTAATATATATTAACATATATATGTGTATTATATATGTATATTTCTAAAATTGTTATGATGAGAAAATTCTCAAATGAAACTAAATTAATAATAGAATTATTAAATTTTTTTTATTTTTTTAAAAATATCCTTATTATTGAATTTGTAAACGTCACAAAAGTATTAATTTTTGCGACGTAATTAACAATATAAAAAAGCCATTTTAACGCCTAGGCATAAAGGTAAAGCACTTTTACGCCTAAGAATATAAGTACGAAAATATATTATTAAACTGACATAAAGTGTCAAATTGAACAAGCCGTAACCATATATAACTTTCTCAATATATAATTACATACAAGGTATGACTTAATTATTTATTTTTTTTTATATTATTTGGAACATTTTAAGTTGTTTAAAAAATTATTTGTGACGTTTGAAAAAAAATAACACGTTCTATTCGGAGTAAAAATGGCTTTTTGTACCTCTGCTATATGTCGTACAGCCTCGCCACCATAAAGTGTCATTTTTACTCTTAATAAAACAATATACTATTTTTGCTCATCCTGTGTAATATCCAATCGGTTGATGTAGACAGATCGAATATGTCGACTTTCGTTAACTTATAACCCAAATTTCAACTTTAAAAATGTTCAATTCATGATTTTACCAATGCTTATTCAAGATCATGTTTTTATCAATTTTAAACATATTATTTTATTTTTTATCTCGAAAACTATAAGAGATATAGGTATAGGTTAGTATAATACAGAAATTATGAGATATAAAAGTAGTTTCCATACATGTAATGTAATAATACACTGTGTGTTATATTTATAATGACAAAGATGATACCACTTTTTAAATGATCCGGCAACACTGTAAAGTTGATAATATTTCAGCTAGATGGTGCAGGTGCCTTTATGTAATAATCCAAATTTTCAAAAAACTAGTTCTCCATAAACGTCTAACGTACCATCATCGCCGTGAATCACCCTATAGACCTTTTTTATTAGTATAAGAGCTAGCAACGTTTCAACGTTTTCGAGAAAGTATTTTAAGAAAGCTGGCTCTTTGATATATCTTTTACTATGCTCTCCGGAACAGCATGCGGCCCGTCTGGCTGCCGATACCCGTTGCGTTTACTACTGCGCATCGGAAGAAGATCATATATATTTTTTTAATTTAGTCTTATAAATTCTAGTATTGAATATAAATCGAACATGTCTCCATAACGCAGTGCGTAGAGTTTCCGACTACGAACAGAGGATTCAGAGTTCGAATCCGAGTCAGGGCAATAATTTTTTTATTTTATTTTTGTTTATATTCTGATAGTAAGGTATTAAATAATTCTGGTGATTCAAAAAATATATATATTTAATACTTTACTATCAGAATATAAACGAAAATAAAATAAAAAAATGTTTGCACTGACCCAGATTCGAACTCTGACTCCTCGCTTGATAGACGGAACCTCTACGCGCTGAGCTATGGAGACTCGGTCGGTTTATATTCAATACTAGAAATTAAAGGACTAATAAAAATATAGGATCTTCTTTCAATGCGCAGTAGGGAACGCAACCTTTACCGGCAGCCAGATACTCTAGAGAGCATAGTAAAAGATATATCAAAAGCTAGACGTCTTAAAATACTTGTTTTTCCAACGTTGCTAGCTCTCGTACTATATTACGTTGCTTTAATCTTAAAGGAGCACCTGGAACATATAGCGACTCTAGCCAAGAGCGCCGATAGCTCGCGATAGGGTTATCGACTATGCTACCTTCTCAGTTGTTTTAATATACTAACTGCAGCTTTGTTCTTTTATTTCCCAGGTGATATAATCATAAAAGAAGGCACGATCGGCGCCAAGATGTACTTCATCCAGGAGGGCATCGTCGACATCGTGATGGCCAACGGCGAGGTGGCCACCAGCCTCAGCGACGGTTCCTACTTCGGCGAGATCTGCTTGCTGACCAACGCGAGGCGCGTGGCCTCCGTGCGCGCCGAGACCTACTGTAACCTGTTCTCGCTGTCCGTGGACCACTTCAATGCAGTGCTGGACCAGTACCCGCTGATGCGCCGCACAATGGAGTCGGTCGCGGCGGAGAGGTCAGTGCGGTGGTTGGTATACACTCGCACCGCGGGGCGCGGGTTATTAAATTATGACTGTTTTGAAATCGCTTCTTTGGTGTTGGGTTATGGTGGTGGGGTGGGGAGTCAAAGAAAATCGGAAAGAGTTATTATTATTAAACTAGAAAAATAAATAATTTAATATAAGTATAGGGCATCATCCCACTTCTGATGATATACACGGTGATTCAGGCTTCCGAAAAAGATCTACCGTGTGGTGCATCCATAGCTTTTATAGACAGCTAGTCAGCTCACGACGATTTAAGGTTGATTCTCACTATACCTTTCATATCAGCTCCATACCGTTTCCCTTCCGTTTACATAAAATATTATATAATGTAAATGAATAGGACAATGTATACTATCCTTTCCGTTTCCCTTCCATTCCATATCCTAGGTCATAGGATATGACATATGATTATGCCAAGGAAAGTCTATAGGCATTCATATACTTACGTGGATAAATCAACGCCATAAGTTTAGCACTAAAAAATACGTCTCCAACATCACGACATGCCATTTTCAAACCTTCTTTATTGCAGTTATGAAACGTTCAATAGGTTTGTTTTTCTCGAGGACCTTACTTTGCGCATGCGCATTAAAAGTTGCACGTATTTCCAAAATAATCACAATTTTATATGGTTTAGAAAGTTTTTTAGAAAGACAAATTATACATTGTTATGGAAACCAACTTTTCATTCGCATCATATTGTTATAATCTTATTTCCATTGTGTAACGACGCTTGTTTTTTGCGTTTTTTAATTTACAAATTGTATTAATTACTTTGTTATCGACCGCTTTTATATAGTCAAGGATACAAGTGTGTTCAGTGAGAAGTTAGTTTTAAGTTTGTGCAATTATATTTCTATTTTTTTTCGTTGGACTTTCTAAATACTCGTTGAAATGGCTATTAGTGTGTGAAAGTTCTGACATAAAGGTCCCCGAATTATCTTTTCATAGGCAAGTAAAGTATTCAATTGTTCTTTTATTTATATTAAGCCACATGCATACTTTCTGGTTAGATTTCCTAAGAATATTGATATTCGTACGGAGTGGCTAAATGTATTTTTTATATAATTTAATTTTTGTAACAGTAAACAGTCAACTTATTGTTCAAGTATAAGCATTTTACAAATTAGATTTTTAAAATGTTCAAAGCATCATATTACTTTACTAAGAGAGCTTTGTAGAAAAGCCCTCATAATGGAAGTATTCGTAAATTATATAATTAAAAACAAATTTACATATAAAATTTTTATACAAATAACAACCTTTACGATTTTCTTTGACGATCCGCACTATACATCTATGCGTGTGTGTTTTCCTTTGTGGCGACTTCACGTCCTCTGTTATGATCTGTTATTGATTGTTTTTATTTCTGTATTTTTTTTGTTTCTGCAAATTGAACGTCCCCCGTATCTCTATTTTCATTCGCTTTCAGTTTCTTGTTGACTGGTTTTTTAATTTATTTTTACCTAGTATTCAAATTTTTACCTAAAATTTATTCAAAGTTATTGATACTGCTAGGAAATTACTCGATTTATTAAATAAAATTTTATAAAGTTCTCGTAATTTATGGAGTTATGATCCGCATTTTAATATAACTATAAAGAAGAAATAATATTTCTTAAAAAAACCGATACAGTTTTTTTTATTTTTCAGTTAAAAAACGAGATTTGGTATGGTAGTATATAACTTAAATTATGATTGATTGACGTATTCAATTAGTATAATGACACTACCTGTTTCACAGGAAATGACTACAACTTTTGATTTTTAAAGGGTTCCCTCAGTCATTTTTTTATAAAGATTACATTCTGAATAGAATATATATAATAGAAGACATATCATATGTCTACTTTTGACAATCTTCGCTTAAGAAAAATTAGCGTTTTAAATTTCAATCTAGATAGCCTTTGCTATGAGTAAAACTACTACTCTTTATCAAAGAGCCTTGGAAAAATATATTTGATCGTCTAATGTTTTTCGTGACTTTTCCTGGCCGATTAAAATCATATTTTTAATCATAACTCAACTTTTTTAAATGGAACGAGAGTGGCTCATTACCATATTTGGAATAAGCACTTTTTTACGAAAAATTTGGGACAATGTACTTAGTAGAGTGAAATTTAAAATACTATTTTTAACCGAAAAGTATCAAAAGTTTACATTTCCAGTAAAACAGGAAATGGCCGAAAATAATTGAATACACCAATCAATCCTGAATTATGTCATATACTAACATACAAAATCTCTTTTTGGTGTCTAAAAAAATTAAATGGTTATAGAGATGGAGCCAGTTTTAAAAACACCTGGTATTTCTTGTATATTGTTATCTTTTAAATTCTCACTTTTATTTTTATACCAGTCACCAGAAACTTATACCTCTTGAATCTCATCTCATTTGTCTTGAACTTGGCCGTAGTAGACTTTTCGTGTACGCTTTTACCCCAGTTAAAGTTGTTAGCTTGTTTAAGTCCTTTTAGAGCGGATTTTCCGAAAGAAGAATCCAAAAGGATCCCTGAAGACCGGGATTGGATACAACGGGGTATCGAATGGAAGAGGTTTATATTTAAAAATTTCAAAATTTGTTTTTTTTTGCGTTGAGTATGGATAAGAGGACTTAATAGTTGAGCCGCAGTAGGCAATCATTGACAAAGCACACCGTTTACATTGAATGCTCGAATAGCGAATAAAAATCAATATGTATCTGTAATTTATCGTATTTTAACAATTGGACATTGTCATATTTATTTCAAACCAATAATCAACGAAAATATTTGTCCCCAAGTAGCATTTTCACGATTTGCGACCACATGTTTACTAAACACAACGTTGCATTAGTTACAAAAAATAGTTAGCTCCCTACCTTGGGTATTAAAATAAATTTAAACGTTTTTATAACGTTGTGCCGACGTTGGACTAGTACTACAGCAAAGTAAAAGCTTCTGCGACGTCGAATAAACGTTGTCTTGTAACCTTTTTGCTTAAGTGATCTTTAGGTGATTCGGACAACGTAGTTACAACGTTGGACAATATAGAGTTTTCCGACGTCAATTTTAGGACCTATTCCAACGTTATGCTAACGTCGTCTATTTTACTAATTCCAACGTTGTTTAGATTTCCTTATTCTTACGTTGGTAGGACGTCAAGTCACTACCTTTTTGCAACTGTATTGAATCATAACCTTAAATCTTAAATTTTCACTTCATTGTTCTGTTCAGTCAGACAGTTCAGTGCTGTTTTTGTTTTTATAAAAAAAAACTTAATTAAAATGGGACATAAGAAAGGTACATATAAAACTAAATTTAAATATACATCGATATATATTATCGATAGTTTATCCACTCCCTCGTTTATTTAGATTATAGAGGGCGGCACAAGCTAGACTCTAGGATGACTAAATTAGGCAATCTTGCGACTGTCTACCTGTTAAGGCAAGCTGTCGCCTTAAGGCCGAACTGCGACTTTATTAGTCCAGTATGCGACTACCCGAACTACTCCATCTTAATCTCCAAAATAACAAAGTGAAAGCCGCCATGTTGTTGAATAAGAAAATGTTTCGTTCCTAAAATAGCAATTCCTGCTTTTTGAATACATTAACTTGAAATATTTGACCCTAAAAAAATCACGCGGAAACAATTTTTTTCGACTGCGAATAAATTATTCTCATTTTACTAAAAAAATTCAAGAAAATTTTTAAAACTTCTTTTAAAGTTTTAAGGCCCATTAGTATTTTTCAAAGTAGAAACAATACATTTATCAATAAAGTTGTTTGCGTTTAACTTTTTTGCCTTGGGTAACGAGTTACAGAGTCGGTTAAAGTGTTTCAATAAATATGATCTTCAAACATCCTCCACACTTAAATACTTTTGTTTTGTTTTCCTTCACTGCCATCTGACATATGTCTCTAACTAAATCATAAAAATAATATTTTTACTATAATTATCCCAATTTAGGATAAAACGCGACTTAGACGCCATATTAGTTTTGTATTTCTGTGAATTAGGATTTTAAACAACGTTGCAGTTTGTACTAAATTAGGCTTCTAGCCAACGTCGGTATCCAACGTCGTTTCGACCCAAAAATTCTCCAATCTAGTGCAGACTAGGCTTGGCACGAGGTTGTGCCGACGTTGCGCCCCGACGTTTGGTCGCGTGACACAACGTTGTCCCGACGTCCAAATGTTGCTTGGGTCTAATTTAGTAAAATTACTGTAAACCACTATAAATACAAATTGCTGGTTAGGTTCAAAATTTTAGCGTTAAAATTATTAGGCATTTGCATAAAAGTGTGTATTTTGGGTGATATAGACTATGAAACGCTCAGGTACGGAGTTTGTGTGATCTAACGCTGTTTCAGGTAGTAAAAATTAAGTGATTTTTCTTTTGAACCCGAACCTGGGCGTCGCGTTGTGTTGTGACAATTTCAAATGTTAATAAAATTACCGAAAAATGTTAACAAGTAAAGTAGGGCGTAATTACATGGTTGTTGGGTGCAATAATATTCAATAACTCAACTTTCCCGGATATTCAACTCTCCCGAAACAACATTTTACAGCTTCATAACTTCTCACAGCGATTTGATCAAAAGCAAAAATGGCACATACTTGCTGTCCTCCTTTCACGCAGTTTAGCAACTCTGAACTGTTCAAGAACGCGATACTTTCACTCCATTCAATTGAGTCATAAAGTTCCAGAACTGTTCCGCGCCATATGGCGGCACGAGGCTATCGCGCACAGCTCCTTTCAGAACCGTTCCGGGCTTTACGCCCTGGGGCTAAAGCCCGGAACTCGAAGTTCGCGAATGGAGGACAGCAGCTACGAGAGAATAAAATATAATTTGCAATATTAATATTAAATAATAATAATATTAATGGTATAGGTTTTTTATCAACTAGTGCTTGAATTTTTATGAACAACTTCTAAAATTACAATTATGTACCTTTAGAAGAAAACGTTATAGCCGAAATAACCCC